CCAGGTGTGTGTGTGTAACTAAACAAAGTACCAGGTGTGTGTGTGTAACTAAACAAAGTACCAGGTGTGTGTGTGTGTAACTAAACAAAGTACCAGGTGTGTGTGTGTAACTAAACAAAGTACCAGGTGTGTGTGTGTGTGTAACTAAACAAAGTACCAGGTGTGTGTGTGTGTGTAACTAAACAAAGCGCCAAGTGTGTGTGTGTGTGTGTGTGTAACTAAACAAAGTACCAGGTGTGTGTGTGTGTGTGTAACTAAACAAAGTGCCAGGTGTGTGTGTGTGTGTAACTAAACAAAGCGCCAGGTGTGTGTGTGCGTGTGTGTGTAACTAAACAAAGTGCCAGGTGTGTGTGTGTGTGTGTGTGTGTGTGTGTGTGTGTGTGTGTGTAACTAAACAAAGCGCCAGGTGTGTGTGTGCGTGTGTGTGTAACTAAACAAAGTGCCAGGTGTGTGTGTGTGTGTGTGTGTGTGTGTGTGTGTGTGTGTGTGTGTAACTAAACAAAGCGCCAGGTGTGTAATACCATTAAGGACTAAGAATAGTTGGTGGGCCGGCCCGGGGCGAGGCTTCCCTCCCGCCACCCGTGTCCGCGGGCCCCAGACTCACATTACCCACCACACCTGCGTCAGACCTCCTTCATGGGTGATGGGAGTAGTTCTTCTACCCAAGTCCGGCCGAGGCCAGACTTGACTTGTGAGGGCTTGGTCCACCAGGCTGTTGCTTGGAGCGGCCCGCAGGCCCACATATCGCAGCCTGGGCCGCATGCCGGGCTTGAGCAGTAGAACTGCTCACCCTAACACGTCAAGGTACAATCCAGGTACACTACACCCCGGTTGGTCCGTCACTTCCTGCCGAAAACTCTACAAGTTATATATTTATTTATTTATTATATATATATATATATATATATATATATATATATATATATATATATATATATATATATATATATATATATATATATATATATATAATTTTTTTTTTTTGGGGGGGGGGGGGGGAATTCCACTTTTGTTCCGGCAACATTTCATCAACCCGTCCTCAAACCAGGTCCATTCCATCCAGCGGTCGACCCCAAATTCATAAATTTTATGCTGTTCATTCCAAACAGGAATTTTCTCAAATATAAATTAACATTATAATATATTAGCATATTGTGCATATATAGGCATAGGTTAGGTCAGGTGTTTAGGTTCAGTTGGCGATTATCTGTATTTGTAGCACGTGGGTGAAGCATTTACAGCGTTGTGGTTCGAACAAAATCCTTCAGTGAAGCACTTGTTCTGGAAGTGTTCGAACGAAATCCCAACTTGTCAAGAAATTATTGCATGTGCCTGTGTCAAATTTGACTTGTCTACAGGCGAAACACGTCTGTCTTGACAGCATTAATTTCCAGCTGTTGTCTAATTAAGAATGCCAGATAAGATTGGAATCTCTTCCCTCCTGTTCCCACCTCCCACCAGCCCTTAAGAAAATGTATTTGGAACTATTACCGGAAATAAATTCATACTTCACGATAAAACTAATTGTAAACTGATGAAGGCTTTACTGGTGACATGATGATTGATAAAGATTAAGCCACCCAAGAGGTGGCACGGGCATGAATAACCCGTAAGTGGAGACGGTTTGGAGGCAGTACCAGTAGCTGGTACTGGAGGTATGGATGGTGGTGTTGCTCTCGATGGTGCCCTGGGAGGCAGATGCTGTTTACACCAGAACTCACGTGACGGAGGAGCGTGGCCGGGAAACATTGTTATCCAGTAATTTGTTGTACACATCCACAACCTTTCACAGGCCATTTACCAAGATTTTACCTCCATCTAAACTTATCCAGAGCCTCCGTCTACTATATGTAAGAGATGTTTAGCAACAATCTCAATGTTCTCCCAGTAAGGAGGAAGATGTACCTGCCTTACATCCTCTATATTCAGTTTGGAGCATTAAGAAAGCATGCACGATAAATTACTTCAGCGTAAACAATTTTTTTTTTTTTTTTTTTTTTTTTTTTGAGATATATACAAGAGTTGTTACATTCTTGTACAGCCACTAGTACGCGTAGCGTTTCGGGCAAGTCCTTAATCCTACGGTCCCTGGAATACGATCCCCTGCCGCGAAGAATCTTTTTTTCATCCAAGTACACATTTTACTGTTGCGTTAAACAGAGGCTACAGTTAAGGAATTGCGCCCAGTAAATCCTCCCCGGCCAGGATACGAACCCATGACATAGCGCTCGCGGAACGCCAGGCGAGTGTCTTACCACTACACCACGGAGACTGCTATTCAAGTAACTATTCAAGTAACTACAAGTAAATTCAATAACTACCTATTCAAGATCCCGAGACCAACCTTGCACTACCGTAGACGATGCTCGCCGCCGTCACTTCCTCCCGGGGCGATAAGCAACCTCCGGACCTCACCGTTGCAGCCCAGCCTCCCGTTTGGCTGCCACTTACGGTAACGATGAGGATCATAGTACATATACCGACGTACAACGACGTTAGAAAGTAGAAATCTGTACTACCGAGTTGCACAACCCGGAAAACCATTATCTATTTGTGTTGCAAAGACAATCTAAACTAACCTTCCTAAGCCAAATACACGATATCCCCGGCCTAATTTAGTATGTGTGTGTTGACAGCTGAGTGGACAGCGCTTCGGATTCGTAGTCCAGAGGTTCCGGGTTCGATTCAAGGTGGAGAAGGAAATAATAGGCAAAGTTTTTCCACCCTGATGCCCCTGTTCACCGAGCAGTAAATAGGTACCTGGGAGTTAGCTGCTACGGGATGCTTCCTAGGGATGTGTAACAAAAAGGAGGCCTGGTTGAGGACCGGGCCGCGGGGACGCTAAGCCCCGAATTCATCTCAAGATCACCTCAAGGTATACTAGGCCTAGGAATATTTGTGTTTATTTTAGCTACATTTTTCTTTAAATAAATCCTTACTAGTCAGTACACTACTATCTAAAAACTAAGTACGTACAAATTCGTAACTATTGACGACCGTCACAATTGGTACTAATCTCAACAGGAGGATAGTTGGACCACTGATAATGGTCCTGGACCACTGATAATGGTCCTGGACCACTGATAATGGTCCTGGACCACTGATAATGGTCCTGGACCACTGATAATGGTCCTGGACCACTGATAATGGTCCTGGACCACTGATAATGGTCCTGGACCACTGATAATGGTCCTGGACCACTGATAATGGTCCTGGACCACTGATAATGGTCCTGGACCACTGATAATGGTCCTGGACCACTGATAATGGTCCTGGACCACTGATAATGGTCCTGGACCACTGATAATGGTCCTGGACCACTGATAATGGTCCAGTACGGACCGAAATGTCGTCGTTCCTCCATCTTGTGTTGTGTGTTTTGGTCGTTATATCTTAGACCCCGTTATTGTGACTCACCGTCTGCAGTAGCCTACAATGTATCAAGAACTACAAAGTTAATTATAAAACTTTCAGATGCATTATAATATCAAAGACCCAATACATAAACAAGGAAACAGGGAGGGGGGGGAGAACGAGGAGGGGGGAGAGAACGAGAAGGGGGGGGGGGAACGAGGAGGGGGGGGAGAACGAGGAGGGGGAAGGGAGAACGAGGAGGGGGGGGGTGAAGAATAAGTTCTAGTTTAGTTCATTTATTATGCACCCCATACCCATCCTGTGGGCGGTAGTGGAAAGGGTTACAGAGGCACATAATGGGCTCAGGGACTGAACCCCACAATTCATTTAGCTAAGCAAGTTACAATCTTGATGAGCTAGTTACAAAATTTAATACACATCGTCACATCAACAATGGGCTCGAGATAGACCACAAGTACAGTTTCTAAATTAATTAAGCAACTGACATATGTGGAGAGCTAGTGTCACAATTGATATGTTTGTCCTGCACACCGCCCCCCATCCAGTGGGCAGCGGTGGATAGGTTACAATCACTTTGTTACTACCTACAGTTAGCAAACTGGTTATATTTGGCTAAAATTTCTGGTAGCAGATCATTTTGAATGAAATATTTACACATCGCTGGAACATTGGTTATAGAATTGTCTCTGAATTCACGTATCTTTTCGCACTCCATCACATAGTGACGGAGGGTGTGCGAATAATTTTGTTGACACAGTTTACATTTGGTCAGGTCTACATCAGCAGATAATGAGAATTCCCAGAGATACTTGTAACGAGTCTAAGCCGAGCAGTAGTAACATCTAGAAGTCTGCTGATTTTATTGGATAACCCATAGATGTGTGGTTCCTTTTGCATGATAGTATGATGATAGATGGAATTACTGGTGATAATTTCACTTTCCCTCAAATCTACAAGATTTTGTTGAGGTTATTTGTGTACTATTGCTCTCGCTGCTTATTGACTATTCATGAGAGATCGATTAGTTGATTTCACGACGTTACGAGGTCATTAGCGCGGCATTAACAACAAATATGCCTTATGGAAGGTGACAAGAGCTGCAGCCCAACACGGGGCTGTAGTCTCCCAGTGACGTTACAAGTACACTAATGGAAGGAACTGAAGCAGTAATCACTTGCTCTCCATTTTGCTCTAACGTCGACTGTATATATTAACGGTGCTGGAGCTTGCATCGAGCAAGACTCCGGGTGCACGTTTTTTAGTTTTATTTATATATACAAGAGTTCTTACACTCTTGTACAGTCACTATCACACATAGCGTTTCCGGCAGGTCCTTAATCCTAATATTCTCCGGAATACGACCCGATACGCCAAATCTTTTAACAACCAGGTACCAATTTTATTGTTGGGTAAACAGAGGCTACAGTTAAGGATTGGTGCCCACTAAATCCTCCCCGGCCAGGATACAAACCCAGGCCAAAGCGCTCCCGAAGCACCGGGCGAGTGTCTTACCACTACGCCACAGACTGCGTTCACAACTGAAAGGTACCGGGTTCCATTCCCACAGGAGGCACACATTTGGGCCAAGTTTTCCTTCACCTCATGCTACTATTCATCTAACTTACCGTAAGATCTTTGTGTAGAAGGCGTGGGGGATGGAGGCCATGAGGCCGGCGCCGTCACCAGTGTCATTGTCGCAGGAGCAGGCGCCGCGGTGGCGCATGCGCTGGGCCAGCCTCTCCGCGTCCCGGATCACCTGCAATCAACACAACCGTTAATGTCTCAACTACCTTCTAATATGATACGGAATGAAATTTTGGCCAATGTTAACTTTAATAAAATTTGTGTGAATAGCTGGGCCTAGAATAGGAGGCCGCGGGGACCTTGAACCCCGGCCCGGACAAGGTAGTCCCATCCCATGTTTGGGTTGGAAAACATAACTTTGTTGGTCGATTGGCCAATGAGGCTTGCAGGAAAGAAAACGCGGATTATGTCTTTTAGACTATCTAAAGCGATTAATAAAAACACACATTACTTCCTTCAGATTTAGAAGAACTAAGAAATGGCCAGAGACCTGAAAGCTGCAGTATTAAATGCTATGACAAGTTTTGTAATAATAGGTATTTGTTTGGTCAGCACAGTAACCGGACCAGGCAATGTGATGTAGTCATTGCCGTAGTTCGCCTTGGCTATAGACACATCTGGCAGGTTAGTGAGGCTGAGCCACTACCAGAATACTCAGATTGTAAACTCTGTGACAAACTTTTAATGCATTCACTAGAACACTATATTGTTGAATGTGAAACCGTAAAGGACTTTAGACCTCCTGGCCTCTTGTACCACCAACTGTGTAACTATTTTATTGACTCAGGTGTTCTGGACGACATCCTAACAATTTATCCAAAATTTGCTTGTCCATTTTAAAGAATGAAGAACAATTTTATTTATTTTATTTTTAAGCTGCATCTCTTGTGAACCCATTCCTGCCCTTGTGTGGCAGAGCACAATAGAAAGTTGTGTTTACATATTCGTACATTGAAACGTGTATACAGTCTAATGTTGGTGATTGTAGCCATGATTGTGTGTGTGTTTTTCAGCCTACAGTTTAGACCTATTGTCTTGTGTAGGTCCTGTGTGATCTCTGTCCTGCGTGACAGTGACAGAACTGCCACAAAACTGTCCCTTGCGCAGCCCGTCCTCTAAACAGACCTAAAAGTGATTCCATCCACCCGCCAAACCCCAGCTGTTTATGAATGAAAAACGGTTTACACTCGACTCAACTGATTTCGTTCGAACACTTTCGAAACAAGTGCTTTACTGACGAATTTTGTTCGAACCACAACGCTGTAAATGCTTCACCCACGTACTACAAATACAAATAATCACCAACAGAACCTAAACATAACCTATGCATATATATGTACAATAATTAAACATTTATATTTGAGAAAGCTCCCCCTGTATATGTGTTTTCGTCTGGTCATTTATGTTTATTAATCCGTGTTTCATATACATTTTGTTTAATTTTCAATAGATATTTGTTATATACGGGTGTTTATGCATTTCAAGGAGTATTCGTTAAAGATGGGGTGTTTAAGCATTATCAAAAGATATTAGTTAAATATGGATATTTATTAATTTCAAGGGACATTTATTATAGATTGGATATTTAAGCATTTCAAAAAAATGCTTAAATATCCAGCATAAAATTTTTAAGCATAAAAAAATGCTTAAAAATACTCACATTTTCTTGTGTATTATTATTAATATATATATATATATATATATATATATATATATATATATATATATATATATATATACATATACATATATATATATATATATATATATATATATATATAAGTATATATATATTAAAGTGTGAAATCATCTCGTCTAGCCAACCAACCATAGATGCAGTGCGAACCATATTGCCAGGAGCCCAAGTGATCGCTCCCACCGACAGTGTGCTGCTAGGGGCACCTCTGGGCTCGAGCGCCATTGAGGTAGTCCTCGAAGAAAAGCTGAACGACCTGAGGAGGATGGAGGGAAGAATAGGGGCTTTGGACGCCCACGATGCTTTGTACTTTCTCACAAGGTGCCTGGCTTTGCCCAGACTGACCTATTTCCTAAGGTGTGCTCCCTCCTTTGACAGCCCAAAATTAACAGAATATGACACACTCCTAAGGTCAATAACCGTGAAAGTGTTAAACCTCTCCCTGCAAGATGACCAATGGGACCAAGCAACGCTCCCAGTTAGACTCGGAGGGATAGGTATTCGCAAGGCGACACAGTTAGCATTGCCGGCATTCTTATCCTCGACCAGTGCAATAGGTGAATTAGTTAAGGACATACTACCGGAACACCTAAGAGACTTCATTGGGATTCATGATCCCAAATTCGCGGAAGGAGCCGGTCAGTGGGACACTCTTGTCAACTCTCATCCTCGACCGACTTTTCCAAATGACTGCAAACAGTCCAAATGGGATAGTCCCATAGTGGAGAACATCGCCACATCATTGCTGGAGGCAGCTTCCAGGAAGGACAAAGCGCGTCTTCTAGCTGTGCAAGCTCCCCATGCCGGGGACTTCCTGTTGGCAGTCCCTAATTCCGCCTTGGGCACCCGCCTGGACCATCGGACCCTAAGTATTGGTGTTGCTCTGCGCCTTGCCGCCCCTATCTCCACCGAGCACCGGTGTATTTGCGGCCATGCACGGGCAGACCAATACGGCAGCCATGGTCTCATCTGTCGTAAGACACAGGGAAAGATTGCCAGACATGAAGCAGTCAATGACATCATCAAGAGAAGTTTGGCTTCAGCTGGGTGCCCAGCACAAAGGGAACCTCAGTTGTGCAGACCTGACAACAGCCAAAAACGCCCAGATGGAGTCACCCTGCAGCCGTGGAGGGAAGGTAAACAGGTCGTGGGGGACTACACGTGTGCATCCACATTGGCTGATACCTATCTACCTTACAGCGCAGCTGAGGGAGGCGGGGCGGCCACCTTCAGGGAGACCCAGAAAACTAACAAGTACAGAGACCTAGAACGTTGTTACAGGTTCGTGCCAATAGGCTCAGACTCTGGGCGCCTGGGGTAAATGTGCACTTAAGTTCCTGAAGGAGCTGGGCGAGGAACTCATTGGGAAGACTAGAGACCCAAGAGCGGCCAGTTTTATGTTCCAGCGCCTCATTGTCGCTGTTCAGAGGGGAAATGCGTGTTGTCTCTTGGGTACGCACCCGACCCCCGAGGAACTGGACGAGGTCTTCGAACACTGATTGGTATATTGTTATATTGTTATATAAGTGTGTGTTTTCTGTAAACTGTAACATTGCAATAAAATCAAATAAAAAACAAAAAAAAAATAATAGGGGTGGTAGGAGAGGAAAAGATTAAAGTATTCAGTGAGAATCCACAAGGTCTTCTCTGAACACTATTTATTTTCTTCTTCGAGGATGTGGGTCCCTTTAATTAAACCAGGTGGTGGTACCCATATTATTATTATATATATATATATATATATATATATTATATATATTATATATATATATATATATATATATATATATATATATATATATATATATATATATATATATATATATATATATATATATATATATATATATATATATATATATATATATATATATATATATATATATATATATATATATATATATATATATATATATATATATATATATATATATATATATATATATATATATATATATATATATTATATATATATATATATATATATATATATATATATATATATATATATATATATATATATATATATATATATATATATATATATATATATATATATATATATATATATATATATATATATATATATATATATATATATATATATATATATATATATATATATATATATATATATATATATATATATATATATATATATATATATATATATATATATATATATATATATATATATATATATATATATATATATATATATATATATATATATATATATATATATATATATATATATATATATATATATGTCGTACCTAGTAGCCAGAACGCACTACTCAGCCTACTATGCAAGCCCCGATTTGCCTAATAAGCCAAGTTTTCATGAATTAATTGTTTTTCGACTACCTAACTGTTATGATCTCAGCCTACAGGAGAAACGAGTCTCCCTCCTTGAGAGTTATTCAGCAAGCCTGACCTAACTAGAAGGTCTAGCAAATATTGAGGTGATAACCCATATGAAAAAATGGCTGGTTGGATATGTAAAACAATTTAAGATTATGGGCAGTAAGTAAGGAAATAGATAAATGACTGGCTAGGAGATGTGGACATTTTGCTGGAGGCGTGAGGCTCGCTTCCGGAGGACCTTGACCTCACTTGAGTGCCAGACATCGCAGGGGGAAGCCGCGCTCCGTTGAGCTCCCGTCAGAAGGGAACCCCTAGTGATATATCTCTAAGAGAAGAGAAGTGTGTAGACGTGCCAGCTGTGGAACCGAGCTGGGAACGTTGTGGTCTCAAGTCCTGGTCGACGAGCAGATATTAAATCGCCCAGAAGCATTATTGTGGGCTGTGTGGAGCGCCCTGACCAGACGCCGTCAGAGGGAAAGCGCCCTCGACCAATTAATCTGTGGTAAGCACGATAAACGCCAGTTCATAGTGATTGTTTGTAGTTGGTCGTGTGCCCAGCGACAGTAGCAATGTTTATTTATAGGTTAGACATGTTTTAATAAGGCAGAAAGCCTGAAATAAGAGAGTGAAGAGGGAGGAACACGGAGCGACGTCCGCCCCCTCTGAGCGCTGGCGGAAGACTGAGGGAGCCGGGCTCTTGACGGAGGAAGACCCTCCCAGTGAGTGAGGACCGACACCAGGCGAGGTGGAGTATGGACCCGCCCAAAACGGGGGAGTCCACTCTCACTGTATGTAGAGAACAGATAGAGGTTTGAGGCAAGCATAGTGTGTGGTTATTTTTGTTTATGTGTTAAAGGGGAACATTTTATTGGAGTGTCGATGGGTTGCAGGTTTGTTCTTTGGGGAAGAAGTTGCTGAGAACTTCGAAGCCAGCAGATGAAGTAGCTGATGAGACTCCAAGGTAGTGGAGCAGAGGACCTCGAGCTGTGAGGAGAAGCAGCAGTGAAGAGGAGTGTCACGTGCTTCTGTAGAGGTGGTGTAGCAGCCAAGAGAGCTGTGGAAGAACCTAACAGAAGGGTGAAGCACCGTAGTTGCACAAGGAAACTTCA